CTATATATTTTATGAGGACTTTATTTTGGCCACATTGACCACATTGACCACAATGACCACAATGACCACATTGACCACAATGACCACAATGACCACATTGACCACAATGACCACAATGACCACATTGACCACATTGACCACATTGACCACATTGACCACAATGACCACATTGACCACATTGACCACATTGACCACATTGACCACATTGACCACATTGACCACAATGACCACAATGACCACATTGACCACATTGACCACATTGACCACATTGACCACATTGACCACAATGACTACAATCACCACATTGACTACATTGACCACATTGACCACATTGACCACAATGACCACATTGACCACAAGAATTATTGAGACTGCTTAAATCTGAAGCCTATGTAATCTTTAGAAACTAAGCATGTATATATTTTATCAAGATTTTATTTTGACCACATTGACCACAATAACCACAATGACCACATTGACCACATTGACCACATTGACCGCAATGGCCACAATGACCACATCGATGGGAATGCTAATATAATGCAATAACTGCACGAGATGAACAGTCTGATTTCGAAAGGATATCATTTGAATAGTTGAGCTAAAAGGTTGAAAGGATCAGACTACTACGATATTTTGTTTTTGTTGGAATTCTCATTGCCATGACGGTGGTAATATCATTAAGCTGAAATACGACTTTGTGATCCGTAGTTTATATGCGTTTCAGGATTGATATACACACATAGTTGCTTAAGACTATAGTTTTCATACAGTTTATGCTTGCAATCGTTTAGTGAAATCGATTATTGACTCAGGGAAAGTCTGGATATTCTCGAAATTTAATCCTAAAATTGATTTTGCCGCAAAATCAAATTCCCCATGAACTCCCGCGATTTCGAGCGGTTTTTTTCACCGCATTAACGGTCTGACTCCTGCGGTTAGGAAGAACCGGACAAAACGGAAGTTATCATTTACCGCGGTTTCAGACGGTTGTTTTTCACCGTATTAACGTTCTGACTCCTCCGGTTAGGAAAAACCGACTGGAACCGCTATATTTCGAAAAACCGGTTCGAACCGGTTTTTCTTATTGACTACCTG